TTAGTCTTTGCAACTTCAGGGATCTTATCTATGCACAATCAGCTTGTAACACTCCAAAGAGAAAGGAAAACTTGAAATCGCATCATATGACCCCTTTAATAAAAAAAACATTACATATTGTGCCTTTAAGTGTCAATTTTCCGAAACAATGTATTGTTGGCTATTGCTACAAATATACCCCAGCGACTTAAACCTGGTTTTGTGCTCCAGGGTCACATATGATTGAATGGAATCAATAAATTAGTGGCATTCACAACACTAGGCACACACTGAGAAACTGACATTAGCCTGGTACTGCTCCAGTATCACATGACCAGGGAACTCTGGCTCCGGCACAGCGGCGAACTTCTTAATGATGTCCTCGAGCGCCTGCAGACCAGCCATGCGCAGCTGGTTACTGTGGTCTGTGGCAGCCATGAAGGCCATGCGGATCAGATCGCACAAGTGCAGCACCAGGAAGTCACCTGCAGAAGACACCACAAATGTATTCATGCCCTAAATCACTTCGACTCAAGTCATACTTTATACTTTACTCATACTTTTAAATGTGCCTTGCAAAGTTCAACCAACAACGAAAATTCCTAAAACTAAAATGAATGCCATCCCTCCACAACTACTGTGCACGAAGAGTCACAGAGGTGTACCTTCAGGGTTTTTAGCCTTGGTGACACGCGCAGCAGCCAGGTCAAAGTGGGCCTTGTCTGCATTCTCACACAGATGAATGATACGGCACAGACAGTCGGCAGCAAACACTCGTGTAACCCAGCGAGGCGCCACGGACGGCTTGCTCTTGTCATCCTGACCCAGAGAAGTGAACATGATGTCATCATCCATCTCATCCTTCTTCTCAGAGTCCTCCTCCTCGTCCTTCCTTCTGCCAACAGACGCAACCGTCCCACCGACCTCTGCGGCAGAAGCAAACATGGAACAAGGTGGAATGAGAAAATCCAGCAGATTACAGTAAAATGGGCAGAGTTTCTAACACCCAAATGATCAGTACCTACATTCAGGGTGTGTCTGACATCAGCTTAAAGCGCATCAGTATCAACACAGCCCTCCGGCAGCAAATAAAAGGTTTTGTCCTGGCCCATGGCTGCGATTCAAATGCATGGCATTCTTTCAAAAGTATCACAAACTAACAAAAATACAGCCTGAGCCAACACAAGTCCTGTTGGTATGTACATACTATGCACTTACTATATTACAATAACTGGGTAATGACTAGGTACTAACCTTGAACCTAACCTTAACCTATGTTCCAAGTTTATGCAGTTATCTTATATTACGCAGTCTTTTCTTGTGTAAGTACTAGGGGTGTGCAATATTGACAAAAAAAATCTGGATATTTATTTTGTTTAGTGCTGATTTATGCCTGTCTAACTCCCAAATATTTTCATATTCTGTGTGTCAGTGACAGAAATGAACTTTTTCCACTACAAGGCAATTTTACATTTATAAGGCCATTTTCTATAACCTTGATGAATGCATCACCTTTTATGTCAGATTCTTACATTTAATCAATAAATGTATCAAATGTATTGTTTTTGCAAAGCGAGCGACATGCTCAATGTCAGCTCGCACATTGTTAAAACAATAATTAAAATATTATTGTCATATCGCTCACCCATAGTAAACAGACTCTACGTGCACATGCTGTGCAATAAAGTGCAACCATGATAATGATCATTATTATTAATGATGTTCTGTGTGTACATGAGTCACATGGCTCAGATTGTTCTTTAAGTGGTTTGTTATAGGATGCTTGGATGATAGGCATGTCAAAATGACACAAGAAAAGTTCAGAACATTGACTGTTACTACAGTGAAAAAGTGGGCTTGATTTAGTGAAAACCAGTCAAAAGAATTAGTTTAAGTAGTCCAAAAGGAATCTGGATAAATGCATGAGGATGCTTTATTCAGTCCTTATGGCCGCAGTTTCAGACAATTTCTTGCTATCCTACTCTGTAAACTCATTAGAAAAATGCAATATTTACAGTCAAAACCTGGTTTATTTCATTCTAGTCAAATAGCACTATGACCTATGAAGCACTATGGCCAGTGAACGGCTGTTACCTGTAGTAGCTGCCAGAACATCTTTACAGAGCTTGAGCCAGTGAGGAAGTTTCTCCACAGCCAGAGACGAGAGCATGTGACCTAACGTGTCATGAATGTCCGAGCACAACTTCCTGTCCGTCTCCCGGTCCAGCATTCCAAACAGAACACCTTCCAAACCCGTCTCTGTGATGTTCAGATCTGCAAAATGATAAATGGCCAAATAGAACCAAATAAATCAGTCTGGTTCTTCCTATCACACGGTTTCAGGAGGCTAGGATTGGAAGGCAAACGGTGTGCGTGCCATAAACATTACGAGGCACGTTACGCACTGATGCTGGTGCTGTCTTTGCCGTCTCCAGCCTTCCTGGCGAGACTCATGGCGTATTCACAGACCTCTGCAGCCTCGCGCTGAGCCAGCTGCCGGAGACACGCCACTGCGGCCCGCCGTAACAGCAGGTGAGAGCTGCACAGATGCACCTGTGCACAGGCAAACACACATCACCTACTGCCAGACTCACCTGTGGGAAATCTGCTTGAACTATTTAACTGCATGTGCTCTCCATATATTCACAGTTGCCTATTTATGATTATACGGGGGTGAGCCGAGAAAGCCTTACACAGAGGCTGGGCACCAGGCTGGACAGGTTGACGTGTCGCGGTGCGAACATGTGCAGCTGCTGCAGGCAGGAGATTGCCGCTGCCTGGACCAGAGAGTCCGAGTGATCCTGCATGATGGCGCAGCCCACCAGACACGACGAGCGAATCGTAGAGATGCTGACGCTGTTCCCTAGGATAAACAAACCAGGAGAAATAATACAAATACACAACTGAACATTTTCTGTTCACCTACACAGAGACAACTGACAGGGCTGGGGATGCATGAGTGATAATGTTCCCAAACACTTTGTAATTATCTTTAAGTAGCTTTAAACACTTCCTCTGGTTAAGGAAAACCTCACTAACTTCCCAGAGTGCCTTGCCAGTTTGAATCATTCAATTGCAATAAGACTGTCAAATGCTGTCTAACAGACCGTTTCTGTGCAGTTTGCGTTTACTTTAATTACCTACTATTGTCTTGAATAATCAGTTGAGAAATTTTTACTTATATTGGTTAGGCTAGTATTTGTTTTTTGTATTTAAATTGGTGTTGAGAGTTGTGAAATTCCACTGGAATCTAAAATGTTGGCATTGTAACAACCTTATTTCCAGCAAAAATAACTATATTGTGACATATTACTCATATGTGACCCTGGATCGCAAAACCAGCCTTAAGTGTCAATTTTTTCGAAATTGAGATTTATGCATCATCTGAAAGCTGAATAAATGAGCTTTCCATTGATGTATGGTTTGTTAGGATAGGACAATATTTAGCCGAGATACAACTATTTGAAAATCTGGAATCTGAGGGTGCAAAAAAATCTTTAATTAAGTTTTGATATATTTACGGTAGGAAATTTACAAAATATCTTCATGGAACATGATCTTTACTTAATATCCTAATGATTTTTGGCATAAAAGAAAAATGGATAATTTTGACCCATACAATGTATTTTTGGCTATTGCTACAAATATCCCCCAGCGACTTAAGACTGGTTTTGTGCTCCAGGGTCACATATGTTGATACAGAATTTTGGTATCGCCCACTCCTATTAAAAGCAATCAAATAGAGGTCTGCACAAATGGTTAGCTTAATTACACAACTGACATGTGCATCATTTTTGACTTTTTGCTTTCCAGTTTTTACACAAATCCTCACACTCTCAACTTGTTTCAGAACGCATATTTACATGCAGATATCATCATATCATCTGAAAAACTATTCTAAACAATTGTTAGGCTTTATGGTTGGGATGGGGGGAAAAAATTAAGAAAACCAATTCAAAATGATGCACAGGTTGCAAACTAACTTCTTTTGATAACTGATTCACCCAGTGATTATTTCTTTGATTAATCAATTCATCACATTAGGCCTAATATTATTCCATATTTTACTAACAAAGCACGTTTTTCCTAACTGTCCCGATGTTTTTCTTTACGTAATGTGCAGATAATGTACATTATGCATAATATACAGTGTTCACTACAGGATTTTGTGAATGCATCAATCTGGTGCACTGACAAAACACAAGCTGATCGAGTGGCCAAAGTGTGCGCTTTGCTGTGAAACACGCAGCGCAACAACTAGAGGTTTATTTAATGAAATCAAAGCCTTTTGTGATTTGATAAGCGCACATCTCACAATTTCCATTTTAGTTTGATAGATAATTGACAGATGCTTTACCAAAACAATGGCACAATCACAAATGCTATAATTGTATTTTGTTGGTAACGGTCTGGTACCCTGTAGTTCTGGGCCCACGGTGGTGATGAGCGCTCCGAGACAGCGGCCCAGACACTGATGCACCTCTGTGTGTGAGGGGGGGACCGTCAGGAGCAGCGTCAGCACCAGAGACAGCGTGGGCTCCACATAACCACGGTACATGGGCCCGCTGGAGTCCACGATGAGAGCCAGAGAGTGCAGCGCCCACGTCTGAAACAACCAGACAGACTCATGACACATCTGATTTCACCAGCGGCAGAGCTCTCTTCAAACACCTGCTGCCGGCTCAGAGCTCACCTGGACCTCGTGACACGTGGCGTCTTGAGCCAGGGCCAGCAGGATGCTAACACTGGTCTTGAGGTGCTGGCCCGACCCAATGCCGCCCACATAACGGTGCAGGCAGCCTAAAGCCAGAGAGTGACCCGTCCTGGACACCACGTCACGCGCCGACTTCAGCCTGGACAGAAGACGGAAGACAGAAAAACTCAAACACTAAGACAAACGTGAGGAAACAGCCAGAGGTCCCACAACATCCATGCCACGCTTCTGTCCTGCAGAAGCGACAAAACCAGTTGTAACGGCTGGACAAATCAGTCACAATATTATTTGTTATATTTATCAAATAATCCAACAGACCCCTCACCTAACAACCGGACTGGGTGCCGTGATGTCTGTGAACGACCCCCCAGGCCACTGGTTACCATGGCAGCGACCTCACTGTATAAATTAAATATAGATTCAGTGTTTCCCACAGACTTACACTCTATGTGTGGCGGCACTTCCCCCGGGGAAACATAGGCTATATATGAAACAGCAGACAGGCCGACTGATTGAAAACGCAAATTACTTCTCTGCCAGCAGGAGGCGCTTTAGGAGCGGCAGAAATGGCGGTTTCCCCGGTAACGGCTGTAATCAAAGCAGCGCTCCGCTCATAAACGCTACTTTATCGGGCATTATTGGAAAGATTAAATGAAAATGACATCGACACTTTTCTAAAGACATTCAGTCAGTTCCTTTCAAAGATTCATTCATATAAAAAACCCAGCGCCTGCTGTGCTCATGTTTATTCAACGAAGTCAAAGCCTTTTGGAAAATCTATTTGTGGCGGTCAGTTTTGATATTGTGGCGGGCCACCACAAATAAATCAATGTACGGGAAACACTGAATACTGCCCACAGGAAAAGACGTCTTTCATTATTTCATAGCAAAACCTTTCTATGAATGAACATGCATATCCCCAGGTTATTGTTTGTATTATTACCGTTCTTGTATTGTCTACTGTTTTATGCATGCTTTATGGTAGAATCACTAGTTAATATAACCTCACCTGTAGCATGTTTGGTATCTCCGAAATCGTATTTTGATCTAAATGAGAGTGTATATTATATGTTGATACTTATACAACATATTAGTGTTCTAAGAATCTTTAATAGTTTTTGCATCAGCACCCAATCCATATGCAACTGACCATGTTCGAAGACAAAGAGTCATAAACTTTCCCTCCGAAAGTGAGAGTCACTATTGGCTCACCGACCCCCTGGAGGTGTGACCTCCACAGAAGTTAAAAGGCCTCGCATCCGTGACCCGCCTCTTCTTCTGCACTGCTCTTACTCTTTGCCTCTCAGACATTCAGTCCGACAGCGACACCATGGGACCTCCCCCGTGCCGGCAGGTGATTGTGTGTGTGTTTGTTTAGACTAGTTATGTGTTAGTGTTTAGTTAATAAAACTTCTGTGCACAAATTACACGAGTTTCTGATTCTGTCACCGCTTGCAGATCAATGTCACTTAAACGATTCCTGATTTTGTTAAATACTCTAATGCATTAATACTGTGAGAAAGTTATTTTCTGTGGCCACGATAACAACCTTTCTTAGAGTTGATATGAAATTACACTGAATGTTCGCCGGACGAACAGATTAGTTGATTGCAATATTAATTCTGCTACAGTTACTACTGGCAGCTGAGGTAAATAATTGCAATTAATTTTAATTATTTATATACATTTCCCTTTTGATCAAATTCGCTACACAGTCAACTGGAAGGGTTAGGAACGGAGACCCAGGCCTTATTCAGAGCCGGTTATTTTCTTGGTTCAGTTCAATTAAAGGTTTTTGAATGTTTGCATTCTGCTTCTAGCCAATCTACTGTACAACACAAGAAATGCTGTTAAATGTGATGATTTGAATGTGATGGGAAAGACACGTTCTAGCATTCAGCTTGAGTGCAGAGCCGTCACACTGCCATCGCCGCTGCATACTTGTCAAAGCTGTGCTGTGCCATCCTGGCGATGAAAGAAGCTTCTCCCACGACTTGAGCCATCCTGCCCAGAGCCTCTCCAGCAGCGCAGCGCAGGATGGGGTTGGGGTTGTCCAGCGCGCCCATCACCAGCGCTAGAGCTGATTTACGCACCTCCTCCGGGCCGAGACTGCTCTTGTTCTCAGCCAGACCCTGTACACACACAGAAGCCAATGAACAATCAACATTATCAATATTCTGTTATAGGTTGATGAACTGCACAAGTAGATACTCCAGTCGGGATAGGACACCTTGAGAGCGCTCAGCACCGCAGTGAATATGTTCAACTGCACGGCCTGCTGACGGACGCCTTTAGCTTGTTTAATGCATTCAGCAAAGTGATCCAGCATTTGCAACCTGGAACAGACAAACAAGACATGAAACAATTCACAGATAATGCTCTGAAACGAGATGAATGGCTAATGCTATGAACCCATCTGACATGGTAAGTTTATCTTCACTGAGGCAACAAGCACATCCACTAGTTGGTAAGATTTCTGAATGTTGTTGAAAGAAGTCTCTTCTGCTCACCGAGGCTGCATTTATTTGATTAAAAAAAACAAAACGTAAAAACAGTAATATTGTCAAATATTTTTTCAATTTAAAATTAGTGTTTTCTATGTGAATATAAAGTTTATTGCTGTGATCAAAGCTGAATTTTCAGCATCATTACTCACATGATCTTCAGAAATCATTCTAATATGCCGATTTGCTGCTCAAGAAACATTTCTGATTATTATCAGTGTTGAAAACAGTTGTGCTGCACAATATTTTAGTGGAAACCATGATACATTTAGTTTTCTCACTTAAGTTCAATAGAACAGCATTTATTTGGAACAGAAATCTGTTGTAACATTATAAATGTCTTTCCTGACATTTCCTGAGATCAGTTCAGTGAATCCTTGCTAAATAAAAGTATCTTTTATATGGTAGTGTATTAGATTTATGTACAGATGGACTTTGGACTGCTAAAATCTCACTATCGTCTGTGACCCCAAACAGCATCAAATACAGAAAGCCGAGAAAGGCCAACACAATGCTGACTGAAAGCACCTGTGTTTGAAAGAGACGTGAGGAAAGACGACTCCGAAAAGAGCGACCGAGGCGTCGATCACAGACACCCCCAGGGGCAGCGGTCCGGGCACGGCCTCCACTGCAGGTACGCGCAGGTAAATGGAGGACGGGTCGTGTTCGAGAGCGCCGCTGCCTGACGCGCTGTTGGGCTGCAGCTGCGGCACACAAACACATCACTATAAGGGATGCACAATATTATCAGAACGTTATCGGTAAAGGTCTATTATTTATTTAGGGGGCGCTGTTGACCTACTTGTAATAAAATGAAAGTAAAATACACAAATAACATTAAGATACTTGTGTCCGTTTTGATTTAAAGGTCAGAAGCTATAGCTTACATGAATAAAAATCACAAACAAGACACTTGTAAATTAAATAATTTAGGTTTCAATTGCATCTAAAAAAAACAAAAAAAACAGCAGAGATTGATTTTATTATTGTTATTTTCAAAGCTTTCAACATACTCTCATAAAAAAAAAAAAAGAACTCAAAACTAACCAAAGTTAAAATCGGCCTCCAGCTCCTTCTGAGAGCGAGGAAACACGTTACGCCACAGCAGCAGCATCTTCGGCAGGTGGTAGCGCACTAAAGACGGTCCTGAGAGGACGAAACATCAGAGGGGCTCGTTTCACTGCCGTGTTTCTGGCCCGAGTCTGTGAGAGGTCACGTGCTTGATGCACTCACCTAAGGTCATGAGGGCTCCTAGCAGCAGCCAGCCCGCTTGAGTGCGCTGGAGAGACAGCCGGCTGTTCTGGGCTGCAGAGCGCAGCAGATCTTCAGCTATACTCACCACCATCTGAAAGACATCCAAGCTGTAGCTCTTCAGGAATCTGCAATAGTGGCTTGAATTTCTGCAGTGCTTTCATTTTTTAAAAAGCATTTTCAGCTTTTTTGTGACACTTACGATAAAACAAGTTTCTACTACTGCAACTTTAAAGGAAAGTTCCATGCCGTCTTGTCATTATTTTGACTTGTCCATCATTGTAAATATGAATGTAAGTCACACTAACAGTAATGCATTTGCTATAGAGGTATAGGATGATTCCTTTCAGACTTCTGTGTGTAAAAGACCTTTGTTATAATTATAAACCTCTTCATATTTGAGAGATGTGGTTTAAACTTGCGTTCATCTGGGCTGGCCTAATTTGCTGGATATTTAAGTTAAGAAAGCTGAATTTTGGAATTGTGTGATTTGCAGGGCTGCATGATATAAAAAAAAAAAAAACTGACATTGAGACTTGAGTAGCTATATTTGGAAAGAATGAATCATTCTTTTTTTGTTGGGGATGCATCTGCATAGCACATAAGTAAAGAAAGGACATTTTCCTTTAGGGGCTGAACAATTTAGCAAACACTTGAAAAATATGAGTTTCCCAAACTTGGCTATACTCACCACAAGAACCAACTCAAATCTCTTTCAGTATCCATAAAGTGAGTAAAAAAAACAAAAACAAAAACAAAACAAAAAACTTTATTATCATTAAATAAAAATATTCTAACAATACTATAATACTTTAAAATAAATAAGAGTATTTAATTAATATTACAATACTAGTATCTACATCTTAATTTCTTCATTTTCAAATGTTAAACCATCAAGCTTTGTTTTGCTTGTTTACCAGCAAACACATGCACTGCATGTTTAGAGTGAAGCGCGGCACTGTGTTCATTTACACACACGCAGCTCACAATACAGTATTTCTGAGATGCAAAAACAGAGGTATCACTAGTTGCATGCGTGTCGATGAACACAGGGCTGTGCTTTACTCTGAAACATGCAGCACATGTTTCATCAAATCACAACCTTTGCAATTTGATCATCACAAGCCATAATGCGATACTGATTCGGTTTCTAGTGCAGCCCTTGTTATAGTCTAGATGGCATGTTTTTACTGCATACTGCATGAGTCAGTCAGACCTTGCCCTTGGAGTGCGGGATGCCCAGAGGACACTGATGCACTCCTCCCAGCAGAGCCGCCATGGCGAAGCTGTAGCCGCTCACAGCCTCGGGCGAGTTCTTCAGGTTGTTGATGCACTCGGCGCAGCGCTCCAGGAGAGGCGTGAGCTGGTGTGGCAGAGCTACAGCGACGCAGCGCAGACACCAGGCCGCAGCCAGACGCGCAGCCATGCTCGGGTGCAGCAGCACGGATGTGACCGTCTCTAAAAAACCTGCCAACGCAAGCACAAGACGTCCAGATAGTGAGAGCTGGCCTGGTGGACTGTGCACAGGGCCAAAGGTGCAGGCATGAATGAGTTAAAGTGATAACTCATAGAAAAATTACAATTCTGTCACTATTCACCCACCCACATACTGGTACAAATCCGTAAGACTTCTGTTCATCTTTGAAACACACATGATATCTTTAATGAAGAGAGATTTGGATTAAACTTCTTGACTCATATTGATTTTCGAAGTCTCAAACGTTTGGTGGAACTGATTTCAGTGGAGGGAAGGCAATCTCTCAGGTTCCAAGTGCTTATATATGGTTATGTGTGTTTTCTGTATAATTTTCATGGTTATATGTGGACATACATGTCTGGTTTTGAGAGACACGCAGTCCTTTGTTGGTGTTCACATCAACATCAATTAATTAACACAGCGTGGTTATGTGCAATTTCCTACCGACAGATGGCTCCTGGATCAGAGGGGACGCTGTAGCGCTCAGACTCTGGACCAAACTGCCCAGCTCTTTCAGAGCACACACCATCACATGCTGACTGGCCGACACGTCTGCGGCCCCGGCCCGGTTCTCACTGCTGGGGTCATTCACTACAGCCTCTGTGTGTGTGTGTGAGAGAGAGAGAGACGACACACGGTCACGAGGGTCTGACACTGCTCTGAGTGAATGGGACACGTCGCATGAACACTGCCTTGAGAAAGCAGCATGCTGTTTTTAAATGGGATTTAAGCCATTATCTAAAACTCAAGAGTATGTAGACCTCGTCACAGCTATTAAAAAACTCAAACACCCGAGGCCTACATGAATCCACACTTGATCAGAGATTGACTGTGGTCTTCATTGTCCTTCAAATTGTGTTTGAACAATGTATACAAGAAGGTGAAGGTGTTTTAGCAAAAAAAAAAAAAGGAAACATTTTATGTTGAACCTGAATCTAGATCAGTGGTTCCCAAAGTGGGTGCCGTGACAACTGGCTATGGGTGCCGCAGAATCTTAGCTTTTTTCCCAATTTAAACATCCTAAAATAGAATAACCTTTTACAGCATATATTTTAAAAATAGGCTACATCAAAACACCAACATATGAGCATGTCCAAACGAATATAAATAAGCGAAAAAAAACACTGATATATTTCATACTTATTTACAGTTTAAATATGTATTTACTAGGGCTGGGAAAATAAATCGATGCATCGCGAATCGAGAAATGATTCAGCATCGATTCTGAGATTTTCCAAAGGCATCGCGATTCTTTCTCGAGTCGATTCTGAGCTTAGTTTTGAACAGCAGATGGCGCTGCATGCTTTAGAAACAGCCGTATTCTGCTTGTTTCCAAATCCTTACACACACTTGAACCTAAAATAATCATTCATAAAATTTGAGAAGGTTAAAGCGAATTACAAAGGTGTTCACAGTGGGCTGTGTTTACATTAATCTCGCGTCATAAAAGCATTCTGAGCTGAGGTGAAATTAACGTTACATGACTCGGCCGAACGCACAAGTGCTCTTTAGCACTCTTCTTCGTGAGCATTTGAGTGTGCGGATAAAAACTAGATTAGAGCGCCATCTACTGTTACAAACTAAGCTCAGAATCAATTCCAGAGGAATCGCGATGCATTCTGAAAATCTAAGAATCGATTCTGTATCGATTTATCGTCCCAGCCCTAGTATTTACCGCCAATTGGACTGTTCTCAGGAGAATCGCCCCGTCCGCTCTGCTCAGCTCCACCCTTTGTACTGGTGCGCGCTCAATTTTATATTTCACGCAGTGATTGACAGGACACAAAATTTGTGTTGCTGCTATAGAAGGTGTTGACGGTTTTACCGAAGTGAAGCTGCAACACCGGTTATGTCACTTGCCCACCGCGGCACCGCTCCCACCGTCGTTTAGATTTTTTTATAGTAATAAAAATCATTTAGTTCACTCAAAATTAAAACTGACCGCGGCTGCTCAATGCAGCATGCTGCATGACAGTCGCATCACAGATCAGATCTCATTTATCACGTGAGGAGAAGCTGACAAAGAGTGAAGGGAGACAGACAAGACGATGGCAGAAGAGTTTCAAAACGACATGCAAAAGCGCCTGTTTTAAAAATATTTTGGAATTTGACAAGCCTGTTGACTTCTGCCATTTATCTATACAAGGTGATATTGGTAGTTTTTTTTAAACATTCGTTTCTTATTTATTTGGTTCCACAGTGTTTGTGGATTTTAATTTATTTAAACTGTTTTTTTTTTTTACATCAATGCCGTGTCTCCAATCTTTTTTATTCGTTTTGCTAATAAACGTAGCGTTTCTTATTTATTTGGTTCCACAGTGTTTACTGATCTTCAGTTTTGTATAGGCTACCTAAACTTTGTGTAAGTTATTTGTTATTTTTAGTGCTGTCAAACGATTAATTGTGATTAATCGTATACAAAATAAAAGTTTTTGTTTGCATCATGTGTGTTCTGTGTATATTTATTATGTACATATAAATACACATACATACAGTATACATTTTGAAAATATTTGCATGTCTATGTCATATAATTTATAATATTAATAAATATATTTAATATATAAACATAACATATTTTTCTGACATATATACATGCATGTGTGTGTATTTATATATACATAATAAATATACACAGTACACACACATATATTATGCAAACAAAAACTTTTATTTTGGATGCGATTAATCGTTTGACAGCACTAGTTATTTTATATTAGGCATAGAGCATGGTGTATTTTTATTTGTTTTGTTAATAAAAGTTCTATGTTCTACGTTGTATTTTGTGACACTGAATTGCCGCTAATTTGAAAGTGAAAGTAAAATGCGCACGGCACTTTTAAGCTATTTAAAAGCAAAGGAAAGTAAGGAAAAGAGGGAAAACTCAAACGAACTAAAACCAAACAACTGCTTGACGCAGAATTGCCGCTAATTTGAAAATGAAAGTAAAATGCGCAGGGCGCTTTTAAAAGCTATTTAAAACAGAAGGAATGCGAGGAAAAGAGGGAAAACTACCCCCCTCTTTTTCCTCACCATCACAACCCTAAATTATACCCATCGATCTCAGACTGCACAATGTGCTGGCTGTTGCCATTTTTTTAAGTTATAAGGTCAGGTTTGAACAAATCAAATGAGAAACTAAAGAAATTTAATTTGAGTTGTTTATTATTATTTAAAGAAAGTATCAATCTTTAAATGTGTTTTGTTCGAATGATTCCCACATGGTTCAAATCAGTCTGTTGACACGTGTCATCTGGTTGTAAAAGACAGATGGTTCATTTGAATGGGTTGTTTCACCTCATATGTCTGTTGTGATGCATTCATAATAAATTAATGCCGCTGTTTATGCTTCATTTGTTGTTTGCTCATCTGGATTTAATTTCATATATGTATGTACACATGCACGTTTAACACATATATTATGCAAACAAAAACTTTTATTTTGGATGCGATTAATCGTTTGACAGCACTAGTTATTTTATATTAGGCATAGAGCATGGTGTATTTTTATTTGTTTTGTTAATAAAAGTTCTATGTTCTACGTTGTATTTTGTGACACTGAATTGCCGCTAATTTGAAAGTGAAAGTAAAATGCGCACGGCACTTTTAAGCTATTTAAAAGCAAAGGAAAGTAAGGAAAAGAGGGAAAACTACCCCCCTCTTTTTCCTCACCATCACAACCCTAAATTATACCCATCGATCTCAGACTGCACAGTCAATGTGCTGTTGCCATTTTTTTAAGTTATAAGGTCAGGTTTGAACAAATCAAATGAGAAACTAAAGAAATTTAATTTGAGTTGTTTATTATTATTTAAAGAAAGTATCAATCTTTAAATGTGTTTTGTTCGAATGATTCCCACATGGTTCAAATCAGTCTGTTGACACGTGTCATCTGGTTGTAAAAGACAGATGGTTCATTTGAATGGGTTGTTTCACCTCATATGTCTGTTGTGATGCATTCATAATAAATTAATGCCGCTGTTTATGCTTCATTTGTTGTTTGCTCATCTGGATTTAATTTCATATATGTATGTACACATGCACGTTTAGTTTAATTGGGTTGGGGTGCCATGGAAAAAACTAAAACACTATAAAGGGGGTGCCATGCTTTCAAAAAGTTTGGGAACCACTGATCTAGATCTTAATCGGACAATGACACCGCAGCTCACAGCTGTGATTTCAGAGACAGGGAAGAGTGTCGACTGTGTGATCTCCATCTTACCCACGGCTCTCATCTGTTTGCTGATGGCCAGGCAGATTTCCTTCGCAGCAGCTATTTGAGCTTTTTCACCGAGCAGACCGCCCAGCGACGCCCGCAAGGCGAAGGATACGCAGCGGCGTGAATACACAGCCTCCACGTGAGTCTGCGTGGCCCGCGGATGAGCCACCAGCTCCAGCAGGTGCGATAGAAACACTGCGAAGTTACGCTCCAGCCACTGCCCGCCCAGAGTGGTGACGAACACAACATACGCCTGTGTGGAGAGACACGAACGAGCCAATCATACAGTCAACATAACCTCGACTGAAACACCTTCTGTAATAACAAAACTCTGTTAGCTAACCTAGCACCGTTTGTGTGTTTTCAAACTGAATTTGAATGGCTTTGCATGCGTTTCAGAGGTCAGAGTTATTGTTTTCCGTCTCACCTGCGTGACTCCGACTCGCACCTCTCGGCTGACTGACGCTCCTTTCAGCATCTCTCCTCCGCTCTTCAGGAAGCCAGAGCCTCCTCGCAGGAAGCCTGTGGCCATCAGCTCCAGAACCTCCTCTAGAGTCGCCCGCTTCACGTTCTGACGCATGACTGACACGCAGCAAACAGAGAACCGCTCAGACACACACCTCACTGATATCAGTCACAAATGAGCGCCGCATACAGACACAAACTGGCATTTCTGTGTAGATCGCTAGAAAACACCATTAACCTTTGTCTCCAGCTAACACATTTACAGTAATTACAGTTGATTGGGAGAATCTGGCTGCGTGCTGAATAGTGCACTAGAAGTATTCATGCCTACTTTTTTTTAAAACAGTTGGTAAGAAATATGCAATGTGCATCAATAAACATTTCGATAAAGTATGCAACACAGAGTTTTGCATGTTTAGTTTAGCAAGTGGCATCCAGATATCTCATAATAATGTAATAATTTTTAATCCAGTTTTTTGCACAAAAGTATTTGCTTCCATCCACTGGATCAAATAATGAGATGGCGTGTTAAATTATGGGATACAGTTATGCGCCGCATGCTCTGGTTGTAAACTGTACAGCATGAAGTAATGCTCCACTTAACACCTTGCATACAGAAATAACCATACTGTGCAATGCAGACTGCAAGAACAGTATGATTGTGTTATTTCCTGCATATGCCATGGTGGATGAAAATACAACATTTAGACTACACATAAATCTGCGAACTGACCTGTGGCCTGTTTGGGCATGAGCGCTGTGGCCATGGCGGTTCCCAGCAGTGTGGATACAGACACACGCACACTGTACGTAGAGCCTTCAAGAGCTTTAAAGCACAGCGTGGCCACATTCTCCAGTTCAGTGGTCCAGATGAACACGGCCTCGTTCTGCAGCTCTAACAAACACTGGCCAATCACAGGAACAATCACATCATCATCACATGACCATTCATCAGGCCAGTTCACAATGAGCTCCACTCACAAGATCTGTGCATGTAGTGCATACACTACCATTCAAACGTTTAGAGTCGACGAGATTTTTATTTAATGTTTTTTTAGAAGTCTCTTATGCTCAAGGCTGCATTTAATTGATCAAAAATACAGTAAAAACAGTAAAATTGTGAAATATTATTTCATTTTAAAATAGCTGTTTTCTATGTGAATATCTGTTAAAATGTAATTTATTTCTGTGATCAAAACTGAATTTTCAGCATCATTACTCCAGTCTTTTCAAAAGAGCAGCGTTTATTTGAAATAGAAATCTTTTGTAACATTATAAATGTCTTTACTGTCACTTTTGAACAATTTAATGAATCCATGCTAAATAAAAATATTAATTTCTTTCGCAAATGAAAAAAAAAAAAATCTGCAAACTTTTCAATGATAGTGTATTTTCAGTTATTATTATCAATATTATTAGAAGGTAATCAGCAAAAAGCCACTTGAAGGTGTGTATTACAGTGATCTTTACCACACTTCACAGAATCTCTTATGCTGAGTCCTACCACCCTTCACCCTTGTATAATGCACAGTGTCTTGTGGCTTATTGCTTTTAGAAAATAAAAATGACAGCAATGTTCAACAAACAGACCTAATTAGGCTACATTTATTAACAAATAATAGGAAACTCAAATACAAAAGTGTGAGACACTTTGTTTTATGGATGGGCACTTTTTATTTAACTTCTTTTGGACTGATGCATGCAACACCCGCTGAGTGGCATTAAACAGCTTGAAAGATCAAAGACAATTTTTAATATAACTCCGACTGGATTCGTCTGAAAGAAGAAAGTCATATACACCTAGGATGGACTTGAGGGTGAGTAATTTGTGGGCCAATTAAAATTTTTGGGTGAACTAACCCTTTAAAATGGCATTTCAATACATTGTACACTCCATTAACTGTAAAAATGAGGACACATGCATGCGCGCGCACACTCACAGTTTAGTGGGCAGATACGCGGCGGTGTCGTCTTTGCTCCGGATGATGTCGTTGCACTTGTCGAGCGTCTGGAAGACGACAAAAACGCATGGATTCGCTACAGGAGGCCTTTGTTCACTCCCCGGATCCGTGTGAGACATTTTTTTTTTTATGGATGGGCGCTTTTTATTTAACTTCTTTTGGACTGATGCATGCAACACCCGCTGAGTGCCATGAAACAGCTTGAAAGATCAAAGACAATTTTTAATATAACTCCGACTGGATTCGTCTGAAAGAAGAAAGTCATATACACCTAGGATGACTTGAGGGTGAGTAATTTGTGGGCTAATTTTCATTTTTGGGTGAACTAACCCTTTAAATGCCATTCCAATACATTGTACACTCCATTAACTGTAAAAATGAGGACACATGCATGCGCGCGCACACTCACAGTTTAGTGGGCAGATACGCGGCGGTGTCGTCTTTGCTCCGGATGATGTCGTTGCACTTGTCGAGCGTCTGGAAGACGGTGAAGGTGTCTCCGATGCTGTAGAGCACAGCCAGGTTCTTGGCCAGCAGTTTCCTGGTGGGCGGCCCGGGAGAGCTGCTGATCAAACCCGTCAGCTGCTCCACCAGCTTCTTCTGCTTCTCCTTCACATCCACCTGCGGACGAGCACACGTCTCAGATGCGACGCCTCACAGGAGCACATACAGCCACAACATACGCGTCACTTTACATAACGGATAGTTTTGAATTCTGAACGTCTGGTCCGTGTCCAAAGCACACTTCTGACAGCATTATGGCAAACTGTTACATTAGCAACCTAATACATTGTATACACAATAGCGCACATTACTTTTACTCCGCCAATGAAAACACTTCCAAAAGCAAAACTGACCCGTTTTTGAACAAGTCAGTTCAATGTAGCCTGCAGAAAGAGTCACTGAAAATCCCCATCGCTCACACACACACACACACTCTCTCTCTCAGTGCATGTATGATTCAAGAACAGCAGAAGGCATTTTTACAACTGGGACAAAACCTCATCTATGTATGGAAGCCCGTTTCCGCCACTGAATAAAACATAAATAAAAGGGTTATTGTGACTTTTTATCTCTCAATTCTGACTTTTTTTCTCAGAATTGCGTGATATAAACTCGCAGTTAAAGTCCAATTTTGAGGGGGGGGGACTTATGTTCTCAGAATTGTGAGTTTATATCATGCAATTCTGAGAAAAAAAGTCA